TTGGCTGGAAATTGGTCGTTCACAGCCTGATAAATCATCACAAGAGCCAGTCTATTGAGGCTCGGAAAAGCAAATAAAAGAGCCCGTGTAACGCCCTGTAGCATACTCTGTGATAGCACTTACACTGTCCTAAATCACCTATCGATTTTCATTCGCAATTGCGCAATGGGACTTGAAATGTTGTTACCTCATTGTCTAAATCCAGACACGTTTTGTGAAGATGGAACATATATCAAAGCGACATCAAATGTGTCAATACAACACATCCACTCACTGAATTTTACGTATAGAACTCCAGTCTTTCGATTCAAACAAAGGAAAATTCCCTACTTTCAGCTGTTGCTCTAAATATCTAACAATCCAGAAAAGTAGCTCTTGCAGACGCGATATAAGTAGGTCGATATTCTTTCCGACTGCAGTTTTCATTGAAAATGAGTTAATAAAAACCGCTGGAACGCTTTCTGCACTTTTTATGCACTTTTTATTTTATTATCCCCAGTCATCCGAAGGACCACTTTCGCCACGTTCAACTAGGTGTTAAATGAGTCGATAGCACTTTCTCACCGACGTGAGAAATGCCGAAGATTGCAAACAGTATCAAAACAGAATCAATCATCCCTATTTTCGAATCGTCACAACAAACCATGTTATTTCACACATTTTCACGGTTGCATTTAAGTAAATCACCGCTACGATTGATTGAGGGCTCAAATGATCCCTTTTAATATCCGTATAGCCTTCAAAGCGGCCTTGGCACACTTCCTAGGGCTTCTTTGTCCGATGACCACCCGATTTGGGATTACTACGAACCTGTTTTTAAATGAATTATAGGTCACAAGTCCTTCTTGATCAAAACACCGTCATTTTCACAAGGTTGCACCTTATTATGACATTCATCGGACAATAGACATGGCCAGGTATAGAAAGAAGGTGTCGAAAAGAGTTAAAAGGATATTGAACCCCGAAAAACGCTTTGGTACCGTTATGAAGGATACTTTCTTTTTTGGAAACAAGCCGAGTTGGACAGCTAGCGCTGCAGTATTTAATGCAGAGTCTGCAGATATTTAATCACTCATGCGAGTCATACGTACAATTCCGAAACAACAGAAAATTATAAAAATGCACGTGAATTAGCTGAAAAGTGAGGGGTGACTTTAAACCAATAGAAATTACACACACGGTTAAATGCCAACAAAGAGCGGACAATTTAATTAGACTCTTTGATAAAGTAATTTGTTAATTTAGGCTTTATCCGCTGTGCTGGATAATTAACTTTCAGACTGGCGAACCTGGAACGTGCAAACTTCATTCGATTTCCTAAGCCCAATGAGTTCAAAATTATGATCAGCGATTCAATTAAACCGAGACTGACAACACTTTAGCGGTGATTGGGATACACAAAATAAAACTTCCTTATTTGAATACGTCTCCTTGCCTATAAGAAAACATAGAAATATTTAATCAAACTATCTATCTACTCCGAGAAAATCCCTTTGCCTAATCCAGTTTACACCGTAATGCGATAACCTGAATAGGATAGTAGGAAATAGAGTATGGGATTAAACGGATGTTGACCTCAACCGACAAGAACTAAAATGCAAACAGATAGATAGTCGGAGCTTGTATAAACATTGTACCATCTGCAACCTGATAACCAATCCAAATTTTTTAAATCAACTGTTGGATCAATACCATAATGCTAAGAGGAGCATCATAATGATGCAGCCAACAAAAACCATTATCACTTGAAAATACGGCAGTAGAAATAAACAAGGGCAACAAAGTTGTTGACAAATGTGAAAATTTACATCATCAGGTAAAACTTTTAGAATTTTTCGTGCGTGCCTCAGATGTGCTTCACTCAAAAGCGTACACTGATGTCTCGGGCACTTCTACATCACTCTGCAATGCGTTTGTTTGACCGGCTCCTTCGAACATGCCACTGGATTAAAGGCAGAAAACACTGTTTTAAGGCCAATTTGACTTCAAACTGTGTCGTACCCGAAAGACTTAACACATAAACATTAGTCTTCAATGCGTTTGTTGTGCTGAGCCCTTCGGGCACGACACTGGTTGAGTGGAAAACTGGCAAGTTTGGTATGTTTTTTTGCCCACAAAACACTCCAATCATTGTCGTGTTTGAGACATCATTGTAAGCTTTGGAGCGAAACAGTTTTGAGCATGCCAGAATTTTTTCCCGCTACAAACTGTCCGAAAAATTCACTAGTTTCAAGCAAAGCAAAACATTACTTGCGGAAATTTTACCAAGCTAAATTTAGAACTGCAGTGAAAACTCTAATAGAGAAATCTGCTCGAAACAAACCAACAACACGCATATTTGTTTTCAGTCACTTATTTGCCGTACAGAAAGTGAATTTAATATTTATAACATGAAGGTGACTATTTAGCCTTGGCACATATTGGACCAGTGATCTACACACTGCAGTGTTTTCCTTTCAATTCAGTTCCATTGTGACCAATTAGGAAATTGCCTGCTTTCCATCGGTGC